GTCGTGCTTTAGTAATATTCCAGCAATATCACAATAAACACAAGAAATGGGCTTCATACTTTGTACCCAAGTGGGGAATCAAACCCAGGTCTTTGGCGTGACAAGCGAATGCTTGAACCACTAGGCTATCTCACCGCCCCAATTCTTGCCAAAGGTGCCACAAGGTACCAGACAGATAATTTACATGTGCCTTTGTGAAAATAAGCGTGCCCATTCCTTTTGATGATCCAACTGAACTTAGTACATCACAACAATTGCGTCATTTCAGCTTATCTATAATAAATCAGTAAACATCATGTAACCTTCTAAACTTGAGATCCGTATTTCCTGAACACTATCATTGCTGCATCTTAATTTGGCCTTGGCTCATAAATTAAACCATAGACTATGTTATCATCCAAAATGTGATTTCCTGTTATGCACTCTGACATAATTATGGCCACGCCCATGTTAAGCTGTGAGATTGAGACTGCCACTAATAAATGGTTTGATGAGGTGCAAACATAGCTTTTTTGAATCATCGAAATTGGTCACATTTATTGCATTTTCCATCAAAAGATATTCTGGTATTAATTTATTAATTTTAGTCGAGACGCCAGGGCTCAGTGAAAAAATTTCATCTGTGCCATTTCAATATTTACAGTGCCATGGCACACAAATTTAGTACTATTTCGATCTGTGAGTGTAGCAGGATGTAATTGTGATGCTTCCCACAGAGTGAGTGAGTGAGTGTGGTCGTACGCCGCTTTCAGCAATATTCCAGCAATATCACGGCGGGGGACACCAGAAATGGGTTTCACACATTGTACCCATGTGGGCTTCCCACAGAGATTCAAAACCCCAGCGAATAACAGTATGGGTATGCTGCTGACTGACCAAGGATCATAAACTGTATAATGAATCATGGTCAGCAGATCCTTGCTGCAAAGGTACACAACTCTGCTGAGTGATTTCCTGTTGCTTAGATCTATGAACCATCAATAAACCTTGTAATCGATCACATAAAATGTAGGATGTTTTTAGACATAGTGTAGCAAAAAACAAATAAAGGCGCTATCCCTTTCCGTTAAAAAATATCTCACCAATGAAACCAATCAGGAAGTGATTTCTGAAACTGGCGATGATTGGCAGTTTGTCAAATATGTTCCACTAAAAATTGAGTCACAGAAACAAAATCACATGATTTCATGGGGAAGGGTTTGGCAGTTAAACAAAAGCACAGGAGTTAAATAAATGCTAACTAAATTATAATTATAAATTTCCATTTTTTAATTCTTTTTCTCAACCATTGCTACATAAAATCCCAATTATACTACATGCCAACATTAACATGAGATTTACATAGAAGTTCCAATTGCAATCTACATTTCATGAATTGAATCAAAGGTCACCAAGTGAGTGTGAGTTAGTTAAAATTTAACATCATCTTGGCAATATTTCAGCCATATAGAGGCGAGAAATGTTGTACATACACAATAAATAAAAGGTCACCAAGACCTGAGTTACATCACAAAATGCACCTTCAGATGGATAACAACTCCACAAATGCGGAACAGTAATGAAAATTTAGCATGCAATACGTTGTTTTTTTACTTAACGTAAGGACAATTTCAGGCGCAGTAAAGGTTGAGGAGGAAAAGTGGTTTAATAGTATCAATTATTGTATCAGAGGTTCAACATAAATGCAGGAAATGTTCCATTTATCATCATAAACTACATCTACAAGGTTATTGGTGTATATTAAGCACAGGAATACAAATTACTCTGGAATTTGTTCGACTATTTTACCATCTAATCCACGAAAAACCCAACAGGCAACAGTCTCCAGAACAAAGCCTTAATGGCCCTTCCCATAATGGGTGGTCCAACAAACTTTGATTACCATAATTATCATTTTAAAATCAGTTTAAGTGGACATGTTTTCTTTTGTATTCCAAAACAGTTAAAATACATTTCTGAAAAACGATTCAAATTCAGTCAATATGTCTTGAAAGATGAAAATCGATTAAAGAATAAATCTGTTTTTGAGATGCCCCCTCAATTTTATTCCACAGCTGGGTGTGTGATAACCAACATATAGACCCAGTCCATGGTTCACTGAAATCACATGTGCCAGGGATTAAGACAGGTTGGAATATAAAATATGCTGAAAATGGTACTGAGATCAAGGAACTGACAGTTACAACATGCCGTGAAAATACAAGGGGTACAATCATGTCTGGTTCATTACAGGATCAATGAAACTCTGCAAGGATTGACACTGAATCCCTGACATTGAATCATTGTCTGCTGAACATTTGTTCAATGCTCTCTGTGCAACCGTCAGTGGAAATCATTGATCACATCAAATTTTCATGTTTTGGGATGGTTATCAAATATGCATTCCAAATTAAGACAAATAAAATTAACATGTTCGGAACTGTAACGGGAAAAATAGTCTCTGCTAAATATCTGATGACACCTCATTACATTTTATTCAAATTCCCATATCCAATTCCAGACATTGTAAATCTAACCTGCAAAAGGATTAGACATGGTTTTGCATCACTTCCAGCAATTATTTCTTTTTCCGGTATCAAACCTGTTCTTATAAGGCATGACAGTGAAACACTTATCAGGCTATATCACACCCCTACTTTTTTGTAACAGTCTAACTCCAGTGGTCATGGCTATAATGATAGCATATAACAAGAGAATTGAAAAAGTATAACCAGTCTACGTGAAGTGGTTGACAGAAGGAGCAATGATTCAAACATATATTACCCATCAAAAGTTAGACTCACTTAAAGCACTCACTATATGTTATGATATATATGTGGTTGCATCGAAGATTGATTTCTCCACTAACTTGGGGGAACCAACTGCAAACCTTAAGCAGATGAATTGCATGAGGATCATGCATTAAATTGCTGAAAAGCATGTGCAAATATCGTGCATGTGAACATTTGCGTTTTGGTGTAAAGTTTTGTTAAGAATTTGCCAATTTTCACTGAGTTTCATCATTTATTGAACTCATAACAATAATCTTTTCAATGTTACAAATTTGTTTCAGTTCATGTGTAAACAGTACCTTTAAACAGTATGGAATATTTTGCAAAATCTAGTTTAGAACAGCTGACTGAAGTAAGTGGCTACATTTACACTAGTGAGTCTAAACTTTTGATGGGTGGTATATGTATAACACAAACAAGCTTGGTTGGTTTGTTTGTTGTTAAACGCTGCACTGAGCAATATTCCAGCTATACGGAGGCGGTCTGTAAATAATTCAGTCTGGACCTGACAACCCAGTGATCAACAGCATGAACATCGATCTACGCAATTTGGACACGATGGCATGTGTCAAGCAGGTCAGCAAGCCTGATCCTCCGATCCTGTTAGTTGCCTCTTATGACAAGCATGGATTACTGAAGATCAATTCTAACCTGGATCTTCACGGGTGACAAGCAAGCACTTCTTGGATCTTACAAGAAGTATTGGCTACTTGGTCTACTGTTCCCAAGATTCACTGTAGCAGCAAGGACAAAACTAAAGAATTTAAGTCTGTAATAATGGTTTTAAACATGATAGAAAAAGTGATCAACATCTAACCCCCAGAAACCTTTATCATCATTTAAGTTAGCAAATGTTTCACTTTTCAATCAGACACACTGAAATGCACAAAGAGCCAATTCTTTATTTGATTCCCACACAGGAAGTATTGTCTGAGGCTTAGAGAAAAGCAAGGGTGGTAACACTCATCAATATTATCTGTTAACTGTTTGTACTCATAATATTCTCAAGAAGATAACGCAGAGTTCATCGTGATAAGATGTATCACTTTTCTTTATCCAGACATGCTTTGCAATTTGTCTATCTACATATCTGCAACACTTTAACTCATAGAGCACCTGCAGTCTCTTTATTAAGCGTATGGCCATGGGAAAGTACTCCATAGGAAAGTTATTTGCTGACAAAGGAAAATACCAGCACTGAGGCTGAAAATTAGACACATGTCAAGTCAAACTACTTCAACACTGAAGGATGGCTTTATTGAAGTTGGAATATAGAGATGTTAATTTCCTATTGATAACAACTTTTTATGACTTTTATAGAGTATATTAGGTCCAAAGGCTACTTTTTGACAGCTTTGACTGAACTTGTTCATGTTGATTTACATACATGCAGATAACATGTTTGTTATATAGAGCGAATATTGTGGACACTTTTAATACTGCAATAATTGCAACATTATCATAGTCGTATTGGGACAGGTAAAAATAAACAGTATCATTCTTATTATAAAGATGCCTGGGCATTGTTCAACATAACCAAATCTCCATCCGTAAATCCACCAATTCCTACGTTTAGTAAATGTTGAGGTGAGGTGAGATGAAATTGGGTTTTATGTCGTGCTTGAGAATATTTCGCTCATATGACGACATGCATGCATATGTGTATGTGCGGCTGCTTGTACTAGCCCAGACTTAATCTGGTTTAATAGTGCTAGCCCACTGAGATACTATGCTGCAGTGAAGCATGAATACCCCACTCAGACACATGATACTGACTCCGAGCCAACCAGTCCTTGTTGTACCCATTAATGCCGTATTTTAACGTCTTTTGGTATGACGTGGTCGGGGATCGAACCCGCGACACCACGGAGGCGGTCAGTAAATGTTGACGTGATGTTAGTGACTATTATTCATACTTGGCTACTTTCTATTTATACACTGTATTACGTCTAGTCTGGACCAGACATAACCAAATCTCCATACGTAAATCCACCAATTTCCTGTGTTAAGCAGCAGGTACCCCCGATCTGTTTCTGATCATGCTGATGTAATATTTTTCATAATATTTTAAAAAATATATTTGTATGGATCTTATATACTATCTGGCCTCATAATTCCATGGTGTTCAGTGAAACAAAAATAATATCAACAATAACAATAATAAATGTAATGCCTCTGAAGATGTTCAGATTCCATGCTCACAGAGCTGCAAATAAACATAAACAAATACTATGACAGTAAGATAAACTCACCATCTCTGGCTGCCAGACCCGCTTCAGGTACATGTTCATATATTCCATAATCCGATCCGCTATCCGATATATCACCATCGTTGTCCCCAACCTCGAGGTACTCATTTTCCTGCCCGTCCTCCATCATACGAGAGGAACGCTTGAGTCGTGACACACCAGCTTTCCATTTTCTCCCAGCGTTACAATTTTTGTTCGTCTCCAAATTATTTACTTGTTCTACGAAATCTGACACCTTCAAACCACTGGCAAATATAGATTCCTCTTTGCGTTTAAAAGAATCTGTTTTTGTGAGCTTAGTTGTCGTAGGTTGGGATGCTATTTCCGAAACACGATGTTTAAGTTCAATATGGTCAACCTCTGAGCCCCTTCGCTCAAAACTTTCCGTAGGAACACCACGTTCAAAATCAAATTTCAACCTCTGAAATCGCTCTGTGCTCATTTTTCGAGATACCATTTTCCTAATATCTGCTCCCGGGCCCGCTACGTCCAGTTTTTCACCTCCAGACATCTTCCTTGGTGGAGGTTTGCTGGCTGATGTTCTGGTTGCCGTGGTTGATGTAAGCATGTTCTTTCTCTCTTGGATCATACTGGCAGCAGAGCGTTCACTTGGTTTCGACAAATCCTTCTTTTTTGTGGCATCACTTGTCCTCTTTGTGAAATCACTTGTCCTTTTAGTAATTTCAGGTTTGGCCACAGTGACAGTTTTTGAAGTCTTAGGTTCTTCCTTCTTGGTAACCTTGACATCGACCTGTCTTGACCTCCTTTCAGGTTTGACCTCTGTTGTTGTTTTAACTGAAGGCACCCATGCCTCTATGCTTGATGGAGTTTTCTTATTGGAGTCACCAATCCTCTGAATGGGAATCTCACGCTCGATCTTCGTCTGTGTCTTTGTGTCATGTTTTGACTGAGAGGATGACACAAAGTTACTTAAAACATTCCTAGCATTTTTCTTTTCTAACCAGCTCGGTTGAGAACTGGAGGAGTCTGTTTTAAGTTTGACATCTTGTTTTGAATCTAATATACCACAAACTTTGCCTTTGTTCTTATCAGACCATGGAATAGGAGCATCAACTGATACCTTAGATGGCGATCCCACCCTCCGTTCGGACTGCGTGATTTCCACCGTTCTCGTCCTGCTTGCGAGAGGACCTTTAACTTCAGTAGAATACTTAGAAACAACTGTCCTATCAGCAGAGTCACCAAAACGGGATGTCTTTGACACAAATGTTTTATCCGTACTATCACTGAACCTAGATGTCCCACTTGTTTTGGACACAGCAGTTCTGTCGGTCGTGTCCCGAAACCTAGACCCACCACTCCTTCCTCCACCACTGACTGCACTCAGCTTCGTCTCATTGTTACTGGAATGATGGGCAACTGGAATTTCAACTCGTATACTGCTATCTGCAGTATCCGAACGAGGACTGGGTAAGTATTTTGGTTTTGCCCGACCAATCAGCTTGGGGCTACCGCTACCTGTACTTACTGGACTGGCACAGTCGCTTCGAGATCGTGAACTGTCATCTTTCGACGATGCACTGTCGAAACTTTCCACAGAGGTCACTCTGTCCAGGTTTAACCTAGGAACACTGAATTCTTTAGGCTTATCATTGGCACTAAACGAGAACACACTAGTTTTGGAGGACTGAGGAGACTTGTTGCCAGCCTTTGACAGGTCTGGTGAACTTTGGCTCACAGTTCCAGCAAGCGTTTCACTTTGTCGTGGTGTGTCTTTATAATATCCTGTCCTGTTAGCTCGATATTTGGCTAGAAGATCAGAACTGCTAGATGATGTGTCCTTTGACAAGTTAACATTCCCAGTGCTGCCACCATACTCTCTTTTTAAGTCTGTTTTTGTAGAGGTCAAGGACACAACCTTGATTCCTGAATCATCCTTGTTGCGTGACCTTGGACTTACTCCAGAAGCAGACGTAGAAGTTGTTTTAACCAGTTTGGTCTCTGTTTTAGTTTTAGATGTTTCTTTGTCATCTTTTGAATGATCAAACATCGCCTTAAGATCCTTCACATTGGCCGGTTTTAATGGTGTCCTGATGCTGCGTGTTGTTGTAGTTGTAGTCCGAGACGTCACACCCCTCCCCATCGCTCTCGCGCCCTCCATTTCTGTCGTCTTAAGTTTTACTCCAAATCTACTACCTGGATCCATATGTCGCGAACCTGTACGCAATCGCCATAATCCTCCTTCTGGTCATAACTGCTGAGTAATCAAAATTTATACAAACCAAACGTCACAGAGACATTCCAAAATGTTTATCAACACGACGTGAAAAACAGTCTCGTAACACTGTGAGTCAACATTGGTGGCACCTCGCACCAATCCAACAAATTCCACAAAATCAGCTGATTCAGCAATACTACACACTGTCCCACTATGTAATCATATCACCATGGTTCTGCTCATGCCTCACATCTCTGCGTCAACTTCATCGCAGATCTTCTCTCATGGTCCACATATTCTGAAACAAAGAGAAACAGTTTTAGCAAATACAAAATGCTCCTGATTAAGGAAGTGAGACTTTGACATTTAAACACTCTCTAGTTTTTCAGCAATACAGTACCCTGGCCACATGTTTGTAGTACCTGTGATAGGCCAGATAAATAAAAGATGATAAAATACAACCTTGCACAGCACTTTCCTTATATAGAGAATGATCCCCAAATTTGAAAGCAACACATTCAAATGTGTTCAAGTTATGGGTTGAAGAAACTTTTTAAAGTTCAAAATCCAAAATTGCTATGATTCTTATAATTATAATAATTATAATATCATAACCAAAATGTGAAATTTTGTTATTTTGAGTGACCCTGCTTTGATTTGTTAGCAAGACGGGCAAGAGAGTAAGTCAGGGTTTAAGTTGCTTTTAGCAATATTCCAGCACTATCATGTAGTGTTGGGAATTGGTTAAAATCTCATAATTGATGATTGGTTCATTACCACCAATCAATCATCGAAAATAACTGGTTGGCGTCATTTATGAAATTTGTTAATGCACAAAAAATAAGGAAAAAAACATAGTTATTTTTGGTCTTTTCGGCAAAATTTGACATCTTTAAAGGATGACTAGAATGTAAGGAACATAAACAGACAAAACCAACCTTGTGGAAAATATTGTTGATGTACAAGTGTTCCAGAATTGTTTGTGTTCGATTATGAGAAAACATGATCGATTGCTTGGTCGTTCAGTCACTGTGACCAATCTTCGATTATTTCAATTAATCGGACCACCACTACTATCATGACAGGAGAAACCAGAAAGGGCTCAAAACACTGTACACATGAGGGAATAAATGAAAGCTAAAAACTATCCCACTGCCCAAAATAATCATGAAAACATATGACATAAGCATAAAAACTCTCTGCATGAAGCTACCATGCTGGGGTATATATCATAAGTATGTTTTCATTTATCACTATTTAATTAACCGCATAATAAAAACATTTTGCCTTACAGGCACTCCTCAGGCACATTGTAGCAGTGATGATACATCATCTGCACTGGCAGTCAATTTATTGCTTAATTGGAGCTAACATACAAATGATTAAACACATATGATCCTTCAGCATGTCATCCTACATGCTAAATGGGATCTCAGATGGCTGGGGTCCCCTAGGTCATCCTGACCTCTAAACAAAGATCCTTAGCCATCTGGGTCACCAGGGTTGGATTTACCTAGATCTGGTCAGAGGCTGATATAAACATCATACACACTGTCTACAGCACATCTCAGGAAAAATTCCAAAATGGGAATTACAAATTGCCCAAGGCAGGTTATTATAGTAAATACTATTGATGACATAGTTTTAGTGCGTCTCCTGATGGGACTCAACCTAACAAAAGTACTAGAATAAGCACTTCACTGAGAAAGTGACACCCAAAATATAGCATACCGTAGGTTAAATTTGACCATTTTCTAAATGGCATTGTGTATTCGTGACTTGTATTTCACTGATAACAAGGAAGACTGAAAGTGTTAACCTGCAATACTTAATTTCACAATATTGTATTGAATGCAGTGTTATATACCATTGAATATAGCAACATAGTATGTTTTTGTAAAATTCACAATTTTTCAGAAAACAGTGAAAATTTCCCAATGTGACCACCAAGATCAATAGATTGGAACTCTTGTATCAGTTATAAGTCCTCCAACAGATATATGCTGTCATAAAGCTCAAATATTGCTGAGTGTGGCATTAAACAACAAAGCAAAACAAAGATCTAACAGATATAACCTTATAACTTCAGAACATCTGGAGGGGCGGTGGGGTAGCCTAGTGGTTAAAGCATTGGCTTGTCACGCCAAAGACCCGGGTTCGAATCCCCACATGGGTACAATGTGTGAAGCCTATTTCTGGTGTCCCCGCCGTGATGTTGCTGGAATATTGCTAAAAGCGGCGTAAAACCAAACTCAGTCAGTCAGAACATCTGACCAGAGCTTTCATAGTTCTTCTTAACAGTGGGAAGGTGGGGTAGCCTTTTGAATAAAACGTTCGCTCATCACGTCGAAGATCTGGGTCGATTCCCCACACGGGTACAATATGTGAAGCTCACTTCTGGTGTCCCCCGTTGTGATGTTGCTGGAATATTGCTAAAAGCAGTAAAAACCAGACTCACTTCTTAACAGCAGTCAGCAATATTCCAGCTGTATTACTTACTTTATTGTCTGTAGTGTCATTGGTCAACAGAAAATACAATGAATACACAACGCCATTTACTGAGAAAGTGTAATCCCAAATATAATGTGTTAGCCACAGCAATGTCTACCTGTGTCTGATGTTAACACAGTATCAACCAAGTCCCAATTACAACCCAAACTCCTCACTTTCCTGAGCTGCCATGACAAACACTCTGTAAGAGAGCTATAGAAGTCAAAGTCATACATGATCAGCATAAGGTGTCAAATATTCGGATATTTGTTGAAGAGCGTGACTTCCTGTCTCGTCAGTCATCAACATGTGTGTCCGGACAGCCGGGCCGTGATGATAACGGTACATCTCTGGACTTACCCAGTAACATACACAAACAAGCACCTGCAAGTCACGATGGTAGTATGCATGTATCAGGATTAGGCACATAACAAGTACTTCAGTGACAGTGTTGCAGTTCAATCTGTTATCAATGGACAACAAGACTAATGCTTAGTCTCTGAATATATAGAATTTTGATAATAATAAATAAGCCTATTTAAATTGAAAAGGAGCCCCACTGGGATGGGATATTCTTTCTCTGAACCTGAGGAATTAATGGACAACAAGACAACAAGACTAACGCTTAGTCTCTGAATATATAGAATTTTGATAATAATAAATAAACCCATTTAAATTGAAAAGGAGCCCCACTGGGATGGGATATTCAGAACCTGAGGAATTAATGGACAACAAGACAACAAGACTAACACTTAGTCTCTGAATATATATAATTTTGATAGTAACAAATAAACCCATTTAAACTGAAAAGGAGCCCCAGTGAGTGAGTGAGTGAGTGAGTTCAGTTTAACGTCGCTTTTAGCAATATTCCAGCTATATCATGGCAGGGGACACCAGAAATGGGCTTCACACATTGTACCCAGGTGGGGAACCCAACCCGGGTCTTCGGCGTGATGAGCGAACGCTTTAACCACTAGGCTACCGCACCGCCCCGAGCCCCAGTGAGACTTGCTTCATTTAAGGCTTTAGCATTGCAGGGAAGGCTAGGCAGTAGGGAAAATTGTGGTTTAGGGACTGTGAAACAGACTACAAGACAACCAATGGTTCACCTGAACGATAACAACTCTGACAATTATACAGTCACAAATGTTTTATTTGAGATTACACTTTCTTAGTAAAGTACAAATTTGAGAACATTTATGGGTTTGGCAGGATTTGAACCCAGATTGTAAGCCTCCTAATCACCAGCCCACAAGGTCAGCACAGTAACCGACTCAGCTATCAAGGCTTCAACATTAACGGAAGTCCGACAACTGGCAGTCCTGATTACATACTTTGTGTACTCTTCTGACGAGTGTAATGTGGCATGGCTCCAATGACTAAAAGCCACTGTGTATTTACTTCTATAGTCATTCTTGAGAGAGAGAACTGAAGAAACTAAACACACAGTCCCCATACACAGTGGATACAAGTCATGCTGGAAGTACACATTTAAAATATACACTAATGTATTTGGTAAACAATGAGTCAGTGCATCTATGGATAACCAGCCAAACAAAATGTCTCTATCAAATCTAAGTCTGGAAATGATTTTTGTAAAGATTCTTTCAGTTAACCTTGAAAATGCTAAATTTATGTGTCCAATGTATGAAGCCCAATTCCAGTCTCCCCACCGTGATATTGCTGAAATATTGCTCAAAGCCGTGTGAAACCATTGTCGCCCGCTCGCTAGCTCCCTCACTAAATTTGTTTTTCAACAACTATTATAGCTATGCACTGGTATCATGTATTTAACTGATAACACGTTTTGATAAGTTTTAGGTTACTGTATTGAATGCAATGCAAAAATCAATGAGATTTACGCCGCTTTTAGCAATATTCCAGCAACATCACGGCGGGGAAACCAAATGGGTTTCACACATTGTACCCGTGTGGGGATTCGAACCCGGGTCTTCGGCATGACGAGCCAGTGCATTAACCACTAGGCTACTCCACCGCCCCTCTTTGTGATCAGAGTCTGATTGCCAAAAGATAACAATCCTATTTAGAGCACTGCAAACAAGCAACACATTCCTATATACATGTCTAAGTAGCATGGTCAGAGGAACTGTTATGTGACACATCTCAGCAATCAATCTAGGATCATGGCTATTGCAATTTTTCTAAGCACGCTTTTGACTTGTGTACTTGTAACTGAGCATTCTAACGTCTTAATAGCCATGTATTGAGCAACAAAAATACATCTTCAGGATAACACAATAAACCATGGCTTTGCAAATATATTTTGAAACTAATTATAACTTTGAACAAATTATTTTAAATTCACTGAAACAAATGAATGCAATAAATAAAGTATCTAACTTAATTTAAAGAAACTTGAAATGACCAGCAGAGCTACAGATAACTTTTTGGGTAATTGAGTTATGTACTCGCTTGTGTTCATCTCAATTGGCTATCCTAATTTTCCTTTGAGTAACCAAATAAATTGTACTCACCTCACTCAAACTCAATAGGGTATTTTGCCGTTTGCCATTAATTTTAAAATATATAATAAAGTTAAAAAATGTTTGTTATTTATATTTGATCTGTGATATGAGAAACGATAAGAAAGACTGCAAGTTGTCAAGTTCATGTCCTGAAAGAGAACCTCTCAGTATACCTCAATTATTTTATCTATCAAGATTTGACATTTGCGTGTGTACGCATGTAAGATCACTTTTATTGAGTATTTACCAAAATTCAAGCGTATTTGTACGCAATAGACTTAATAGGATTTGAGTTTTCACATAAATATTTGCTTAATTTACGCAGATACGCAGCTTATCTGTACCTCTGGACCAGTTAGCTGTATCTTCCACTAAACAGCTGTAATAAGAAGCAAACTGACAACCACCTATTTCCGTTTCTCCCCGAGATATCCTGGCCTCCCTGCGTGACGCAGGAAGTGAAACATACTGACACAGCTTACCACGCTAAGAGTCACTGTGTGACCATCGGCTGTCTCAACAGCTCATACGGTCATTGCCATAAGTGTGTCTTTTTTCATAAGCTTGTAAAGTAACAAAAATAACTTCAATTTCAACGAACAATGTACACGTAAGTGGCCTCATCCTCTTGCTATCAAGATTTCATTTGGCCCCTAATAACACCAAAGAACAGAAAAACACCATCATGTGTTTGATTGCAATATGCATGTACATCTTTGTCTCTTGGGTAGGGGGCGTTGGGGTAGCCTAGTGGTTAAAGCGTTCGCTCGTCACGCCGAAGATCCAGTGATTGACATCATGAGCATGGCCCCACCCCTTTGAGTAAGATGACAACAATGACCAATCCTCCAGTCTATTTGGTAATTATGTACCTCATGCAGCAATCACATCCTTGGGACCAAACCAAACTTTACACATTGTTGGAATCAAACCTAGACCAACCCAGCTTGGCAGATTGCAGACTGCCTACCATCGACTCTTATGACTGACAAACTCCCACCTCTTACGAGTCTGAAACCTGGGAAAACATGTCCACAGCACAGGCATCATGTACCTCAAGCAGCATTCACATCCTTGGGATCAAACCCAGACCAACAATGTTGGCAGATCGCCTACTGCCTACCATCGAGTCTTATGACGGACACACTCCCACCTCTTCACAGACTGAAACCTGACAGAAAACGTCCATAGCACAGGCTACAACAATGGCCTTGAACCTTTTTCTTTTATTGATCCAAGTTCCATCCAGACTCCGAAAACATGGCCATCAATTTGAGCTACTTCACAAATGCTGATGATACAGACCATTGTAGAAGGTATGGCTTCACAACTGTGGTGATATCTCTCAAATCCTGAACATCCATTGTTTTCAAATATAACCATAAATAACTATGACTATGAAAATAAATCAGTATATAGAAAATCAAACCAAATCATGAAGGCTATCAAACCATATCATCAAAGACATTGTATTCCTTATTTATTTCTTCCTAAATGATAAAAAAAGTAGTAGTAGTAGTAGTAGTAGTAGTAGTAGTAGTATTAGTAGGTGAGTGAGTGAGTGAGTGAGTGAGTGAGTGAGTGAGTGAGTGAGTAAGTGAGTATGGTTTTATGCCGCTTTTAGCAATATTCCAGCAATCCACGGCGGGGGACACCAGAAATGGGCTTCACACATTGTACCCATGTGGGGAATCGAACCTGGGTCTTCGTCGTGACGACCAGCGAATGCTTTAACCACTAGGCTACCCCACCGCCCCAGTAGTAGTAGTAGTAGTAGTAGATGATTCAGCATCATCGTTATCATCATCATCATCATCCATCTTATTGCACAAAGAGAATTTCACATGTATTACCCTAGTGATTGGAACAGTGTGTAACTTCATTTTCAACTTCCTGAGGAATATACAACCTGGTCATGAGCAGCCAATGAGTGTGTGTGTGAGAGTTGGATTTTATGCTGCTTTTAGCAATATGTGAGGGACACCAGAAATGGGCTTCACACATATGGTGAATCGAACCCGGGTTTTCGGGGTGACATGTGAAGCTTTAACCACTAAGCTACCCCACCGCCCCGAGCAGCCAATGAGGTGCCAGTATGTTAACGGTCATCATCTGATGAAACTGGTACCCATTCACTGCTTACTTACAATGCTTATTGTCCTAGATAGACAAGATAAACTCAGCTGGAACGCATATTGTCATAATCAATGATACAGCCAATAAACCTGTAAACCAACATGATAATCCGGATGTTGTTCCTTAAACAGTAGTCAGTTTTCACCAATCTTTTCACAATATAAACTGTCCCTGTAATCAGTCTGGAAGGCCTCTTGAAAATGTGGAGTTCTTTTTCACATCTGTTTTTTCAACATACTTGGGCAAAGTCATTGATGTGCTGAATACATTACTAACAACATGCACTGGTGTCACCAATCCATGAGCGCACTTTTGATTTTCAGCTGCTGTTGGTGATGTTGCTCACCATGAAGTAGTAAGTGAGTGAGTAAGTTGGGTTTTACACTGCTTTCAGCAATATTCCAGCAATAACACGGGGCACCAGAAATGGGTTTCACACAATGTGCCGACATGCGGAATCGAACCAGGTCTAAAGTGTGACAGGAGAATGCCTTAACCACTAGGCTACTCCACCGCCCCTCATAGTAAACACAGTCATGAATAACATAACTGTTCATGTCTCTTGAGGTGACTTGGTACTTCCTTGATAGGGCATAATTATTCTTTTTAAACGTTTTAATTGCATTTCAGCACATTTATAGAAACTGACCCTAAACAACAGGTCACCCTGAATGATAATCCAAAATCGAGTTTCCGGAACTGGGCGTTCGTTAAGTGTAAGTGCCTCACTCACAAAAAAAATAATGATTCACTTATCCGGAACATCAGTTCAGGCAATGGAAGTGTCAGCCACAAACATCATACAATGTCTGCATTACGATGCTGCACAGTTCTGATCTCATCATATTTGGATAGCAGGAAGTAAAATATTCTTAGTCCTGTGACTGGAGGACTGTTACTTCACAGTGAGTGAGTGAGTGAGTTTAGTTTTACGCCGCACTCAGCAATATTCCAGCTATATGGCGGCAGTCAGTAAATAATCGAGTCTGGACCAGACAATCCAGTGATCAACAGCATAAGCATTGGGACATGTGTCAACCAAGTCAGCGAGCCTGACCACCCGATCCTGTTAGTCACCTCTTACAATGGGTTACTGAAGATCAATATTCTAAACCGGACCTTCACGGGTCTGTTA